AGGTATTTTCCACACTCCGTAATCTATAAGATATGATTCCTTAAGGTGTCATCCTATTTCGAAACAATTCTAGGTCTTTTCCACACTCCGTAATTTATAAGATATGATTCCTTAAGGTGTCATCCTACTTCGAAATAATTATAGGTATTTTCCACACTCCGTAATCTATAAGATATGATTCCTTAAGGTGTCATCCTATTTCGAAACAATTCTAGGTCTTTTCCACACTCCGTAATTTATAAGATATGATTCCTCAAGGAGTCATCCTACGTCGAAACAATTCTGAGTCTTTTCTACACTCCGTAATCTATAAGATGCGATTCCTCAAGGTGTCATCCTATTTCGAAACAATCATAAGTCTTTTCTACACTCCTTAATCTATAAGATAGGATTCCTCAAGGTGTCATCCTACTTCCAAATAATTATAGGTCTTTTCCACACTCCGTAATCTATAATCATCAAGGTGTCATCCTACTTCGAAACAATTCTAGGTCTTTTCCACATTCCGTAATCTGTAGTTGGGAATTGAAACTTTTCTTCAGTTGTACCTACCCACACCCCTAACAGTTCGTCATATATTGATGAAATTGTGAGAAGAGCTCGTTAAGACAAATAGAACGCTGGGGTAATTACGATTTTATATTCATTTATTAAAATATTATCTCCTGGTTATATGTGTGAGGGTTTGGTACCAAAAAGGTAAAATGTACCATTATATTGAGAGCTCGCTGTCTGTCTGTCAGAGTCATCTATGTATATATCTCATTAGCTATACTAACAAGTACTGTCAATTTGACTACCTCCATTATAAACCGAAGAAAATCATCAAAAAATGGTTTTCGCTGTAGAAGGAATTTGAAATACTTCAGTTTCAAGAAGTAGTCTTTCTTATACTTATACATTCGTACACCCCTTCCTTAATTAATTATTTAATAGTATAAATAGGTACCTATCGTATTTTACTAGTGTAAAAAAGTCTTGATAGATACAGAATATTACAATGGTTTTTCTTTGTTACAGATTGTTCGGGATGAAGCGCTGTGCGCGATGTCAGGCGACAATCCTGTCGTCGGAGTTGGTGATGAGGGCGAGGGAGCTGGTTTTCCACGTTCACTGCTTCTCATGTGCCGTCTGCAATTCCCCTCTTATGAAAGGGGACCAATTCGGGATGCGCGACGGTGCCGTTCTCTGTCGGCTACATTTCGAAATGTCGCTGACGGAACCTCCACCTCCGGGTGGGATTTACCCGCCGCCTCCGGTCGTGCATTATCCTTCGCCGTTTCCTAGTCCGGAGTTTCACCCGCACACGCCCGTTCCGCAAGCACACACGCCTGTCGGCGAACCAGTCGGTAAAGTTCCTTTTTTTAACGGCGCCACCACTGCCCCACGACAAAAGGGCAGGCCCAGGAAGAGAAAACCGAAGGATTTGGAATCAATGACAGCTAGTCTCGGTATGTACTGTTTTCACTCTAGATTATAGTCAATGTCAGACCTATATCGTTTTCGTGACAGTTATACAAAGGCCACATTCAACATCTATATCTATTATCTATCTATATATATATAAAAATGAATTGCTGTTCGTTAGTCACGCTAAAACTCGATAACGGCTGGACCGATTTGGCTAATTTTGGTCTTGAATTATTTGTGGAAGTCCAGGGAAGGTTTAAAAGGTGAATAAATATGAAAGTTGTTAACTATCTTTCAGATTATTTTTATGTAGATTGATAAATCTTAAGTTCTGTCAAATTAAATTTCTGAACGCAACCATAATATTTGACATTTGTCAACTAAGTTTATTTTATACAAAAATTTAGGTCTTTTATATATCGATTGGGGCAGTACGAAGTCTGCCGGGACAGCTAGT